GAGTGTATATATATAATATAGTTGAGTGGAGTTAAAATTTTATTTACTGCGATAAGGTTGAGGAAGATGATATTCGATTCAGGAACTCCCTTGCTGAGAAGCATTGATATCGCCTTCATGGCCGAATTCCCTACTCACACCCAAAAGTTTACACACTTTCTATTTATTTATTTATTTATTTCCACATTACTACAATCTCATCTTACACTATCCAAACGAGTAATAAATCGATTCTTTACGATGTAGAGGTGGCTTGTTTGATTAATAATGGAATAACTAAATCGATACGAACTAAATAACTTTTACGGGTCAAATCCGATATAAACACCGAATAGTTATAATTTCGTTCAATCTGAACTCGAACCAAATAGAATTATAAAAAAAATCTAAAAATCGATTTTTTTTTTAAAGAATACGAGTATTTTTATCCAAAAAATGAAACTAAATGGAACCTGATGTAGAAATGAAATTGAATGGTTATCATTTTTCCAAACCGAAAAAATCGAACCTAAACGGAACCAAAACGAATAAAAAAAACAATTGAAGAAAACGAGTTTTTTAAATAAATAAATATTTTTTATCAATAAAAATCGAAATGGAACTAATGGAAACGAAGAAAAAAATAATCCATCTTAACTTAACACTTAACAGGCCAACAATGTCTGAAATGGATGGTTTAGATGAACCTGAAGCTAGAACCGGGTCAAGGAGGAAGACATGACGGCTGGCAATGTCTTTTGGCAACTTCTCGTATATTAGCTGCAGGAATAGTGTGACTGAAATGAGAGCAGTGGAAGAGAAGATATTCTCAGAGGGGGAAAGCGGATTTGGAACCTGGCGGCCGTCGTTACCCTCTCCATGGATGAGGATTTTACCAATCTTGATGCCTTTGCAGCATGCTCTCAGAGCATTCTCCATGCTTTCTCCACTGAATCAAAGAAATTTAGGCTATCAAATCATGCACCGTGATTCTTCTCAAAAGGCCGCCATTTGGGGGTTCCGTGCAGTTATATTCGGTTTCCGATTATTTCGGTTTTTATATTGAATTCATTTCGGTTTATATGGATAAAAATACTCATTTTTTGAAACAAAAAAAAAGGGTATTTTTATATTCGTTTTGGTTTGGTTCAAATTAGTTTCTTTGATTGTAGTAGAGAGATCATTACCATTCGGTTTTTATATCAAATTCAGCTAGGTTATAATTATGTATTATTCGGTTAAGATCAGTTCAGTTGTTTGGTTATTAACCAAGTTGAGCATCCTGGTAACCATAAGCACTACAATGACTTGTTTTATGATCTCACTTCCTATAGACAGATAGATAGGTATACCTTCTGATCACTGAGACGCCGCATAATCTCTTGCTAAAATCAACTCCAGTGTATACTGACCCTGTAAAAGTATGGAATTTTTTTCGTTGTACGTATGAACGTTGGCTTGAACTTCGGAGTGATTAGTTACGAGACAAAACATTACCTGTTGGAGTGGTGATCTGTTTCTCGGTGAAGGGAAGATGTCCAAGGCCATGTTCGACGACCTGAAAACAAAGAAAATTTCAGATCATGTTCAAGATGAATGATGACGATTCTTCTATGGCCTTGGATTGGACGTATCTACCAGTCGGATCAATCTGTCAGCGTAAAACACGAAATCGTGCTTTGTCGTGTTGACATCTCGGACAAGAGTGTGCATTCCTCTGATCTGAAACGTGGAGAATATGACAAAGAGGTTTTGGTAGATTTTGCAGAGATCATGCTGTCCGAGCTTTGTTCGGATGTGTTGGACAATGAGGTCTATAGCCACACCATTATCGCCTCCTCGAGGGATGATTATATCAGCGTATTTCATCGATGGCTGGATGAATTCGTCAAAGCTTGGTTTCACGAATTTGGTATACTGAAAAGGATGCAAGGGTTGGATTATGCATCTATAAATCATCCACGGAGCATGAAAGAAGAAAAAAAGACGCCCATATACCTGCTCGAGCACGTTTTGAATGTTTCTTCCTCTTTCAACTGTATCACGTTGTATTCTTCTTGAAAGCCTCACATCAGCATCTGAAAATGTTAGAGCAATTTCTGCCTCTTAAAACTTTGCGGTTCTGGGCATTAACAAAGCTGTTCTGCTCGTATGCCGGAGAACATCTAGGGGAAGTGTTGTCTAATAGCTACCAATTCAATGCAATAATGCTTTCAACTGTTCTCCAGAAGCTTATGAAATGTGGCACGCAGAAGCATACCCGATTACGAACCTGTATCGACAAAGATCTTCATGTTCATGAGGTCACGGACTTTGGAATCGTGGAGAACCAGTATTCCCTCTAAGATGATCACGTCGGCGGGATTAACCTGTATCAGATTGACGTGGGCCGCTAATAGCTACTAAGACCAGTGATTACACCAATAATATCTTGTTTTGGTTACGTTACCTAATGCAACTACCCTTCAGCAATCCATTCATGGAGAATAGGAAGGCTGATGTTAGTACCTGACTCGCTGATTCTGTGCTTTTGTGGCTCTTGAAATCATATGTTGGGATGCCAACTGGTTGCCCACATCTTAATTTCTCCATACAAGAGAGAAGAAGCTCGGTATTGAATGCGTCTGAGGAATCAAATCGGGAATCGAACCTCGTAAGAGAAGGAACAAATTCCATAGTAATGAAAACCTAGAAGCAGAGGCATGGCTCTCACACCTGGATGATCGAAGTTATATTCATGGACCTTCTTCAGCCTCTCATCACCGAGCGAGTGATAAAACGAATCCTGCCAGGGTAAATGAAAACCCACATATGGTGACGAAGTTACACACAGATTTCAAATCCAAAGAAAGTGGGATGAGAAAGTTACTTGGTTCACAAGCACGACGCGTTGATCATGTAGCTGAGACATGATCATGTCGCAAACAGTCGTTTTCCCAGACGCTGTTCCTCCGGCAACACCTGAACAGATCAATTGAACGATGGATCTCACAAAAAGCGGAAAAATGATGAAATATTCAGAATTCTCCCAAAATTAAGTTGAATATGGTTGCGGAATCGAACCGATCACGAACGGCTGCTTCAGAGGAGCCGGAGCTAGACGGGATCCGTTCTCACTGACTGAGCAACGATCTCTCACGCCATTACAAAATTTTTTCGAAGTTTCAGATTTCGCCATCGTATCTATCTACAACCGTAACCGATCTTCACGATCACCATCCGATCGTGATGATATTTTCGAACAAAAAACAAGTGGAAACAGAGGAAAACAAAAAAAAAATCTTGGAAACAAGCTATGGATTACCACTTCGATCGCTGCCAAGTGAAGTTACAGAGACGATCTCTTCTTCGTCCTCTCTCTCTCTAGAGATAGGTTCAAAGCGTGCGCAGGGGAAGCCGAGAAATAAGCGGGAACCAGAGCAAGTGTTGCTGTTTTCCCCTTTTTTCAGAAAGATGGGCCTCCAAGTTCTTCTATTCAGCCCAATAAATAGATTCGATTATTTTGATTTAAAATAAAAACTATAATTGGTCAATTTTTATGTTCTGTCCGGGTTGAATTCGGTTTTTATTTACAAAATACGTACTTTAAAATAAAATCTTTTTATTATTTTTGTTAGTGCAGTTATTTGTACATGTGGCATTTGGTTGTTTTGGTTTTTAAGTGGATATGCAGGTTCAATAATTTTAAAAGATTTTAGAAGAAAAATCTGGTGAGATATAGCTCGAGAAATTTTGAGATACACCTAAGGAGTTTCAGATATAGTCAAAAACCTGAAAAGATAGAGTCAAATATTGAAGAGATAGATATTGAAAAGATAGAGATAAAGATGAGATCTTGGAGATAAAGGTGAAATCGAGGAAAATCAGAAAGAAGATTATCATATCAATTCGTGAAGATTTAAGGTGTGCAAGACGTATAGAAAAATAAAATGCGAAAATAAAATAAGACAAATAGAAAGAAACGAAATTACTTTTATTACTACATCTCTTCTTCTTCTTGTTATATTACAATGAAAATAAAATACATATTTATAGGAAAATTAAGAAACATAGTAAAAAAGAAATATAGATACAATGGAAACAAATCAAATACACAATATTCGACATAATGATATTGTATCCATTATTATTCCCCATCATATCTAAAATCTTATTTTACTCCCATCACATATTCATTTTCCCATTTTAACATTCCCCCTCAAGATTGACTTTGAAAGAATGAAAAAGTCAATCTTGCATTGATAATGCTATAAATCGCCCAAACATTTTCATTGTCTCTGAAAAAATTCATAAATACCAAATTTTATTCTTTTAGAGAAAATTAACCATTTTCAAATCACTTTGCTTGACTTTAAAGTTCTAGCTTTAACTCTTTTTGTCATAACATCTTGATTGATCTTAGAGTTTTTAGCTTTGACTTTTGTTTGTCATAACACATCGTTTGAATTTGGATTTTTACTCTCCTCTTAACGATTTGGATATATGAACATCCAAAACGCAAAAGAAAGAAGAGATTAGAAAAAAAAAATATAGCCTAGATCGCAACGCTGCTCTGATACCATATAGAAAAATAAAATGCGAAAATAAAATAAGACAAATAGAAAGAAACAAAATTACTTTTATTATTATATCTCTTCTTCTTCTTGTTATATTACAATGAAAATAAAATACATATTTATAGGAAAATTAAGAAACATAGTAAAAAGGAAATATAGATATAATGGAAACAAATCAGATACACAATATTCGACATAATGATATTGTATCCATTATTATTCTCCATCATATCTAAAATCTTATTTTACTCCCATTACATATTCATTTTCCCATTTTAACAAGACGAGCCTATATAAAGGAGACACAAGCTGTATATCAGTTCTTACAGAGAGAAACAAATTTTACTTAAGAGAGTTTTTTTGTTAGTGAGAGAGCATTCGTTTTTGAGTGAGTGTGTGGAGAAAGAAACTGATTGGGGAAATCTCTTTTCTCTGGTAAATGTTGGGGCGTAGATCTGAGGGGAGACCTAATGAAAAATTCTTCATTCTTTTGGTGAGCGTTTGTTTTGGTAATATTTTTTATCAATAAAATTCGCTGTGAGAGTGAGTTGAAACTCAGAGGAATAACTCTAACAAAAAGTGAGTTGTACTTGACGTTTTTTTCAAGTGAATAAAATTGATTAGTTTTTTCCCTTTACTCTTTGAGACCCGATTTTTTCAATTTTTTTTATTGCCTCGATCATTATGATTATATGTTATTAATTTGAATCGGTTTGCTTATTTGATTATTAACTAAATAAAACATCCTAGTCTATAATGTTTTATATGGTTTGAAGTTTAAACCATATTGGTCTGATCACATTCAGATTCTTTTGTTTTTTATATTAATATTTTGTATTAAATTCAATTCGATTCGGTTCTGAATCTATTGGGGCGACTGGTTATGCCGCTACCATCCGCAAACGGAGCAGTTGCGATTTCTCACGATTGCGGACGATTGAAAAACTGATTGGTTGAACCGCAATCACCCGCATCCGCAACCAAACTTGTGTTTTCTAATCGCAGCTTCCAACTTGCGTTTTGGTAACAGTTTTCGGCGTTTGAAAAAAAACTAAAATATCCTTATTAAAAATTATATAAAATACTAATATATATATATATATAGATATATTGGTGATGATTTTATTTATTGTTATGATTTGATATTATTTTCTAGTATTATATTTTAATAAAAAAAGTACAATAGTATAATTTTTAAGTTTAATAATGATTATTTTTAATATTTTTTATAATAAAATTATTTTTTTACTTAAAATAAATTAAATTGATAATATTTATATTTTAAATTTATTAGTAAATATTTTTTTATCAAATGATACTAAAAAATTAATTAAAACTATTATAACAAAATTATTATAAAATAATATTCTTTTTAAT